GGGTGATCTCGAGTGTGAACAGTGAGTTGTATGGGCGCACAGTCGCCATAGCCAGTTGGAAGAGAACTCATATCTGGTTACGATATCTTTGAGTACTGTGTGGGCGCATGTCGCCAGTTCGCTGTATCGCTGTTTGCAAGCATGGTGAAGTGTGAATAAGTCGAGTATGATTGTATATATATATATATATATATAGCCCCTCGTTTGTTGTCCTCTTCTCTCTCTCTGCCTACGGTTCACCGGGCAGTTCTATTTGTGACGATATATACATATATATATATATATATATATATTTTTTTGAACTACGCTATACTCTTCTCTCAAATCTTTCATCATCTTTCAAATTCTTTCAAATTCACCTTCACTACCTACCTACCACTACTCCTAAGGCTTAGACAGGGGACCCCTGCAAACATAGCTTTGTTGTCTCCCTCCAGCCATCAGAGGGGATGCATGTTGCCCCCCGCCCCAACTATGGTGGTCAAGGATGGGGTGGGGCCGCCGGTGGGGGTCCGGCTAACGCAAAGACCGAGAATTTTGCCAGTATAGCTGCGCCTCCCTTTTCATCATCCCCCATCTCTCACCTGGAACATATGGAACATATCGTCATCCGTTTTTCCTTCCCTTTTCCTCCCTTTTCTTTGTTTTTTTTCCCCTGTTGACTTTTTTCCCTTCTTTTCTTTTCATAGGGCGACGGCCTTGAGGTATCTCCAAGGTAATTCCGAATCATTGTGATCCAAGGTAATTCCGAATCATTGTGATTGCACTTGGGTCTTTACTTCAACAGTTCATGTGTGTGCCCCCTGAACCGGGGCCAGGTCCCACTAGCAGCGTTGAGTTTGCTCAACGCCTGAATCTGGAAGCGTTCGTGGAGATGTGCGGTTGAGAAAACTCAACACGATTTCTGGAACCGGGACAAAAGGGTGGTCCGGAATTATCGACCAATTTCCGGCTTGAATGTTGCGTATAAAATCTTGGCCAAGGCACTTGCGCGTCAACCAGGTTTTACGAATCTGGCGTCCATGCAGCGCCAGATTCGGGGCAGCGCCAGATTCGCGTTGATTTCTGCACATATCAACATCACGTCCAGATTCAGGCCTTGAGGAAACTCAACGCTGCTAGTGGGACCTGGCCCCGGGTCAACAAGGTTTTACGAATCGCCAGATTCGCGGGGCAGCGCCATAGTCGGGTCAGCGCCAGATTCGGGGACGGTAGCAAAAGGCGGAGAGGTCCAACGAGAAACGCCAGTGGGGTGTGCCTGCCCGATCTTTTGCATCGCACGGCCAGAAATCATTGTGCCTTTGCTGAAGCGTCTGCGTTCGGGGTTACAAAAAAACGTTAACTTCTTTTTGTTTCTTCGTTTTCAACGGAACAAAATGTAAGCCTGGTGCTTGAGGACCTTTGCCGCAGCGGCCACATTATCGCGACGAGGCGAAACAAAACGCATCGCCCCTGTGGGGGCCTGTCCAAGGTCAGTCAGATATTGGTTAGCTTCTTCCGTGACGTCGTCTTTGGCTGTGAACGAGCGTGCGCAGAGCGGTATGTAGTGCTTTTGCGATGCGACGAATGCAATGTGCACAGTAGTATTGCCGTTCTGAGGTTGAAATCGTCAAAGGCTTTGGGTCGCCCAGAAGGTAAAGAGTTGGGGCTCTCTGAACGTGTTGTCGCTCTCATGTCTTCCCCTCTCTCTCAATTGCTTGCCAGTGAAATGGGTGATGGAGTTCAGGTCCGGGTAGTGAAGACAGAACACAATCTACGATTTCCTCCCTCTCCAATCTCCATGGTGATTCTTTTCGCAATATGTTTGAGAGTAAATATTCAGATTGGCATGGGGGCAGAGTGCATATCAACTCCCCTTCGGACCCTTCGTGTCTCTCGTCCTTCTTCGTCCTCCTCTCCTCTTTCTTGCTTGCTTGCTTTGTCAGACTCTTCTCCACCGTCTCTTTCTCCGCCCTCCATTCCCTGTGATGATCCATATCTTGTGCCTCGGTGGCATGATGGTGCAGATTAGCTTTTTTTATTTTTATTTTTTTTATTTTATGGTGCAGATTAGCTACTACAGGAACTATGGGAAAACCTTCAAGAAGCCGAGACGTCCGTACGCGACAAGCGAGAGCTGTGGCGCGTTCGGTATGCACTTAGCCGAATCCGAAACAATGCCCGTACGTTATTGACTCTCGACGAGAAGAATAGTTGAAGAATCGTCGAGGGAGAGGCATTGTTGAGGAGGATGAACAGGTACGGTCTTCTGGACGAGTCGCAGAACAAGCTCGATTACGTATTGGCATCGACGGTGGAGATTTTTTTGGAGAGGAGATTACAAACACTCGTCTTAGACTTCAAGACTGGGCTGGCCAAGTCGATATCCATCACGCTCGTGTGCTCATCCGTCAACGGCACATTCGAGTGGGGAAGCAAATTGTGAACATCCCGTCGTTCCTTGTGCGGGTGGATAGCCGGAAGCACATCGATCGACTTTGCGCTGACGAGTCCGTTCGGCGGAGGACGTCTGGGTCGTGTTGCCAGGAAGAATGCTAAGGCCCCCACGAAGAAGGCATCTGAAGGAGATGGTGATGAGGAGTGATGACGAATAGACCAGACCAGAGGAGGTTCTTGCACTCTGGACAGTGGAGGCAGAAAAACGGCCAACGAGTGTCTGTAGGGAGAAGAGACTAGAGGGAGGGACAAGTATGCCGAGTGAAATCGGGCAACGCTGAAGTGGCCGCCAGTTAAAACTTTCTTCTTAGGTTGCGCATTTATCTTTATAGACGATGATCGGACGATGATCAGAAAATGGATAATGTTTTTTTTTCACCGGAATATAGGGTTTTCATTCTGCCGGCGGTCATCTCCCTGTCTCTACCTCCGCGGCGAGCGCCTGCTTCTGCGAGTGGCCAGACCACACATGCTGGTATGTGGGCCAAGTGCTTCTGTCCAAATTCGTTCTTTTGGCAGTTAGCAGGTAGTGTGCTACAGTCTTCCCCCGAATACAACGTACGGTATTTATAGCTGTATCTAGACTGAAAGATGCATCAAAAACAGCTTTAATGACCGTGCGTTGTATTCGGGGGAAGACTAGTCATACTTCTTACAAATGGCGGGGAAATGGAGCTAGCCGTTCATCTTCTCTCTTAAAGCCAAACGGGGGTTGGCGTTACGTGAGAGTGTTCTCCTGATTTTCTGGATTTGTTTCTCTTAATTTTGGAGAATTCCGTTGCGACCTATAATCAAGGTTGGATGCAAACAAAAAAAAAAAAAAAAAAAAAAAAAAAGTTTGTCGTTTCTCCCTTTGATTGAAAACTGGGAGAACCTCCTGCGAGCATGATAGCTTTCTACCTCTATTCGGTGAAGCCTTAGGGAGGTTACCTCTCTCGGTGGAGGGAGGTAAGGGCATGTGCCCTACCGTTTAGGGTGCAGGGTTGGGGCCGCCGGTGGGGGCCCGCCTAACACAGGGACCGAGCATTTGGCAGTCACCGTGCCCAGGGTTGGGGCCGCCGGTGGGGGCCCGCCTAACACAGGGACCGAGCATTTGGCAGTCACCGTGCCCGTCCCTTTTCATCTTCCCCCGCCCCCTCCCCCCCCCATGGCGTGTCTGAAGCCAACACTCTCACACACCAGACGTAGAAAACTATGCTTGCAGGGGTCCCCTGTATAGCCTCAGGAGTAGTGGTAGGTCATGAATGGAAAAAGATATGTTCCGTGACAGAACGGTAGTTAAAATATGTGAGGTGAGAGAAAAATATATATATAGCTGTTCCCCGATGAGGAGAAGACACAAAAAAAAAAAAAAAAACCTGCGAGGCCCGTAGGTAGGTTGTGTCCCCTCTTGGTCTATTTCTGTCTACTGTTTCTGTCTAGTTGCCGATGCAGATAGGCCGTAGATGATATCTGCTTGGACGGTCGGATAGTCTGCAGGCAGATGCTGCGTTTGTAGATCTAGGGGATAGGGTAGAGGTAGGCTGCGCCCGTCGCCCGACTTGGCTCGGGTTCTTTTCGATTAATTTTTTAATGATGAAGTTTGCTGGGAGCGGGCTGGCGACCGGAGCAGCGCTAAAATTAGCGCTCGATGAAAAGTTTGCTGCGAGCGGGCTGGCGACTGGAGCAGCGCTAAAATTAGCGCTCGATGAAAAGTTTGCTGCGAGCGGGCTGGGGACTGGAGCAGCGCTAAAATTAGCGCTCGACATCTTCATCTTCATCTTCATCGTGCTGGAGGTAGCCATGGCTGGGGCTCACCGGCACGTCGAGGAGCAGGGCCTGACTGTGGTCTTTTGAGTGCATTGTTTTCCCTCCCCGCTACGGTTGCTGTTTGGGACCGTTGAAGAAGCCGCCGGTTTATCAAGAGGTTATTTGATGGTTGGTGCCCTGTCGAGGCAGCCATCTTCCTCTTCATTGAAGTCCATCTTCTTCTTCATTGAAGTTCATCTCCTTCTTCATTGAAGTTCATGATCTTCTTCTTCATGGTGGTTATTGGCGCGGCTGATTGGGCCATCTGGCCAGGCTGGCCTATGTCAGATTAGCGCCTGCAACTCGAGAGCAGATTGGAACTGGGCGCTGATTGAGTCGCAATGGGCTCTATACCTGTGTTCAGGAGTTGTTGGAGAGAGGGAGAAGTTACAGTGAATATTCCTTGAAAGTTTATTGTTGAGGGTGGAGATCGAAGGTACCGTGGAGGGAAATTCGTGGCTGAGATTCTCGGGCCGTGTACTCTATTGAGATGGAGGAGAGCAGGGGGATTTAATAATATTATAATAATTAATTGAAGACGATTTTTTTTCAATTCCGTATATCTGCTTTTGGCTTCCAGTGTGCAATCTCTCTCATCGGCTATGGTAGTATGGTGTGAATCTGCTCTCTCCAGTCTGCCTGTCATTGCAGATATGCATGGGAACATTCGAATGCGGTTCTTTTGGATTGTGAATCAATCGAGCACATAACAGTTGGTATCGGAGCTGGACCATGACCTGGCGGTTAATCCTGTGGCCATCTTGCTGTTAATCCTGTGACCGCTTCTTCTTGAGCCAGCGGTTGGAAAGGGGGAACGTGCGATCTGTCGTTTTCCACGTTGCACCGGTGGCAAGGACTTGTGATTGGGTTATACATGGTGGCAAGGACACATGCGATATAATAAAAAAAAAGGGGGGTGGAGAAATTTTGGAGCACTGATTGGTGGATGCGGGCCATTGGGCGCTGACTAATTACGGTAAGTAATCCCTTATTATACCACCGGTAGTGGTGAGGGCCTTGACCCTCAAACGGCCAGCGGATTCAAGTCTTAAAATGGGAATTATAATTCAATTATTATTTTGCAGACGGTAATAGACAGCGTTTCGACGTGGCTGATTGGAATTTTCAGCGGACTTTCATGTGGGCGCTGACTGCCCATGGACTTGTGGTCAGCATTGACCGGGCGGCATACCTCCAGTCAAGATCTTGACCGCTTGAGTTCATTTCGGCGACCTGCTTTTCACTGACGTCAGTCTGGTTAGTCCATCTGTCTGTGTGTCAGTCCGTCAGTTTGTCGGATGTCAGTGTGTCAGTCTGTAGTCCGTGAAAAGAATAGCCAGGAATTGTCAGTCTGTCGCATCAGTCAGTCAAACTGTCGCGTCGGACCGTGCGATCGTTGAGTGTGTGTGTGCGCTGACTCTGCAAAAGAAGGTAGTTGGTATTTCGAAGTTTGGCAGCAAAAATGTCGTCCGTTCGAAGTATCCTTCGCAAAATAGAGGTTTCGTTGCAGCTTTATCGCGTTCCCATAGTTTGCCAGCAAAAATACAGCGTTTTGCCCAGTTTCACGGCGAAGGACCCCTAGGCCTCTGGCCTCAGGGACTGAGGGACTCAGCGTCCTGGCCTGAGGCACTCAGCGT